ACTATTGTCATAGCTCTTGAGTCAAGGGGGGGTTTCTTTATACATTTAAACTCCAGAGAGACTGAGATTAATATTGCCAGACCACCTTTCAACCTTCCTGGGCCCTTTCCTCCTTTAGCTTTCAACAAGTAAGTATTAAAACCTTGTAGGGTAATTTCTTGCTCTGTCCATGTCTCTTGAATTGCTAAAATATCACATTTCTGATGAAGGAAAGGGTTATCTGGTGAGTTAGTTAAACAACGAAACCACCCTGCAACATTCCATGACATTATTCTAAATGGGTGTGTCGATAACTGTCAATCCTCTATATCAATATTGTCCAGAATTTTTCCGCTATCATCAAATACACATCCATTTGCTCTTTGAAGAAGTCTATTGTTAGAGGCCAGGGATGTTGATAAGAGTGGAGGTTCAGACGTTTGGTCATCAGGCATTTGCATTAGAGGTTCTGATGGTGCTGTCAAGTGTGTAAGCTTAAAGAGTCTGTCATCCTCATTGTTTGGTAAGACCAGTGGGTAGGGGAGGTCAGCAGCTGGCGAAGTCATCTCTCCCTCTCCTCCAGATGTATTCTGTTCCATAACATTGGAGGAAGGCTCCTCCAAGCCTCTTTGGTCGATCTTGCCCAAGAAGTCACAATTAAAAAAAACAACAATTTGGCATGTTTATGGATGGATGTTCTTGTGTCTAGGTATCTGGATTTCATCAACGCATTTGTTGGTCTATTGCAAAGATGCATCAGGGTCCCACACCTGCTAAATTAATGTATTTATTAATTCCAGTTTGCACCTAAACACTGTGGAGCAGTCGGGCTATTCTGCCTGCATTCAGCTGCTGAAAGAAATGCATGGGACCTGCAAAGGACTGCTGGTTTTTCATGCTTCCGTTTCCCTGCCATAGGTCCGCCCGGTCTTGCTGGAAGAAATGGGGACCCTGGTCAACCAGGATTGAAAGGTGAACGAGGACCGAAAGGAGATCTGGGACAACCAGGTGACAAACAGTTCTCTTTAAAGGGCAGTTGTATATTTGTCTGAAGTAGGGGTGGCCCCATTAGTTATATAACTGGTATACTGATCATCTTCCCATTGTGTTGACCCTATGAGCTGTGGTGGCTCGAGTGGTTAAGACACTGAACTGCAGACCGGAAGGTTAGTCGTTCAGCAGTTCGAGACCTGAGTGCCACATGATGGAATGAACTCCCGTCTCTGGCCCCAGCTCCTGCCAACCTAGCAGTTCGAGAGCAAGAAACAGCAAGTAGATAAATAGGTACCACTTCGGTGGGAAGGTAATAGCGTTCCGTGCGCCTCGGCGTGTAGTCATGCCAGCCACATGACCACGGAGACGTCTTCGGACGGCGCTGGCTCTTTGGCTTGGAAACGGGGATGAGCACCGCAACCCTAGAGTCGGTTTCGACTGGCTTTCAAGCAAGGGAAACCTTGACCTTACAATGCTAACCAGCCTTTCTCCAAGACAAGAACTTAGGGTGGCCAATGGAGCAGATCAAAAAATTCAGCTGCAAACCTTTCAAACAACACAGTGGCTCAAACGCTAACGGCAATCAATAGCCCACTAGCCAAAAAAAAGCCACCTAAACTATTTTACTTTACACAGTTTCCTGAAAACTGGAAGTGCCAGACGGCTTTCTGCTACGTTTAAGAAGACCATCCCATAGTCTGATTGGCTGCCGCTGAAAAAGCTTGAGCTCAGACAGAGGTGAATCTGAGAAGCCTGCCAGGAGGGTTAGAGCCAGAAGGCCCTGGTCAGACGGTCAGAGACGCGGCAAAGAGTTCTCACTGGTCATTCGGACATGCAGCTCCCAAGCCATGAAGGGCGTTACAAGCAAAAACTAGCCCCTCGAGTTGAACTCAGAAACAAACATGGAGGCAACGGAATGATTGTAAAATAGGAGTCATATGTGCATAATAGATTCAGGTGGGTAGCTGTGTTGGTCTGAAGCAACAGTACAAAGTTCGAGTCCAGTGGCATCTTTAAGACCAACAAAGTTGAATTCTGGGTATGAGCTTTTGTGTGCATCCACACTTCATCAGATACACTGAGACCGATTCCACACAAGCACCTGTGCCACTGTTGCTCTTCCATTTCCCCTGGTCGTATTGGTCGATTTCACACTATTTACTGCACGGCCAAATTTTGACCGGCATCTCCCCCCGATTTTCTCCGCATCTTCTCTATCCTCAAAAAGCAAGATCGAGAAGACATGGGGGAAATCAGGGGGGGAGATGCGGGTCAAAATGTGGCTGCGCAGCAAATAGTGTGAAATTGACCAATACGACCAGGGGGAAATGGAAGAGCGACGTCGGCACAGCTGCTTGTGCGGAATCGGTCTGGCTGTAACCAATGTTCCCTCTAAGTTGTGGAGTCTTGTGAGCAGAAATTCTACTTTGTGAGCTACTGGTATTAAAGTTGTGAGCGAGCAATTTGGCAACTGCATAAATCAGTTTACTCTGGAGCCATCTTTCCTGAGCTAAGACAAAAATCTGTGAGCTGGATGCTAAAAAATGGTGAGCTAGCTCACACTAACTCAGCTTAGAGGGAACACTGGCTGTAACTTATTTTAGTGTATCTGATGAAGTTTGCATGCACATGAAAGCTTATGCCCAGAATTAAACTTCATGTGCATAACAGTTCACTCCAGATAACATTCAAGCTGCTGTATTTTGAACTGATCCAAGAACAGCAGAACCCTGTGGAAGACCACTAATTAAATCCCATTCTAGTGACTCACAATCTCTGATGAAAAATTTCTGAACAAAATCCAGTTGGGGGGGGGGGGATGTAAACCGCTGAAGCCCTTTCCCCTTAATTTTTAATGTATTGCTATTAACACAGTGTTTTGTAAACATTTTACATCTCCCAGTGAGTACTTAAGCAGACACACATCTTTTAAATATTTATGCACATAAGTATCCCTGAAGACGAGCACGGGGGGGAAATGTGTACAATAGAATATCTTCCTCCCCCTGTTTACCAACTTCTGATGGTCTCTCTGTCCCAAATCCTC